ATGATGTTAACGCTCCATCACCAATTCAGGTTTATCCTACACCAGACACCATTTCCAGATTTCCAAATGAAGCTAATGTTAAACCTCCTTATCAAAGGCAAGGTGAAGCTGCCGGAGTGAGTTGCATTCAACATGATGTTATTGTACATCTCTCCTTTACCCAGTACCACCCTACATGCTCGCTCACTCCCACCTGTCTTTGCTTCTTATGAGATTCAGTTGGTCTGCACTTGAAAGGATCACTCAGTGAACCTGTGGTGCTTCAAAGGCCCTCATCTCCCTTCACACATCAGTCATTTTCAGAGAGAAAATTAAGCGGACCTCTGGACAGCAATGAAGCTGTTCAACATATGGAATCAGACAAGTTTCATTTCTTGGTAATGACTTGTGCAAAACATGCCTTTTTGGAAAGGATTTATTTGGACTGGTATTTTTGCGCCAGAACGCTCATGCACACTTCCTTACACTTTTGGTGCGCTTCCTCTGGTCCGGAGAAATATACCTGCAGTGACATAATTTGGTCACACAGCCAAGTCGCAGCTACTCAGATCCCAAATGCTCAGTGATCGATATTTGACTTAATACAGTAAAACAGGTCTCTTAGTGCTCTATAAGTACCCATACGCAATTGAATTATAGAGAATCCCTAAGATAAATTAAAACACTTTTTCTCACAAGAATCCAAAATGTTTTAATTATCAGGATAAAAAAAGGATATTATTAAACAATCAATTCTTACATTCATAAAGGTAATATTTTGTAGGGATTGCTGCCCAAGTGTAGATTGAACACAGTGAAAGATTACAGGTTATGTTTTGTACCGTATATTTGTTGGTACAGTAGAAAATATACAATTATTACAGCCAATAGAAATGCACAACACAGATTCCAAGGCTTAAGCAGGGGATGGGGTGTATCACAGATCTATCTCCCCCTCTGAGAGAGGCCATGTTGTCATCAGCCTCAACTTCAGTGACACTCACTGGCATGCGATCTGCTTTGTACTTTAAAACAGTCCCGATAGGATTTCATCATCCTGTTGTGATACGATCATCTGGTATAGGACATTCAGCTCACAGATAATCTTGCTTGTGTTTGTTGTGAGAGGGAATCAGGATGCATTTTCGTGCAGTTGTGTGATGCCAGCCATGAGTCATGTGGATTATTTTACCCCACTCATTCTGTGAGGGTTATTTGCCGGAAAATAATTTAGGAAGACCATTTTTTTATGACTTGGAAAGTATAGAAAACTGTAGAAAAATAAGCAACTTTTACACTGGGGCATCACATGTAAAGATTGGTAAGTAACTCATAATATATTGCCTCCAGCAAGGGCTATGGCACAAAAACAAATTTTCACAATTCTCTTTAGTTGCGCTCACAGCCTTGAAAAGTGACATTTGAAATGGACAAAGAACCACTATTAACCTAAATACTTGGTTCCAATTTAGGTATTTTGTAATACTTTGAGCACCACCACAGGATCGTCAACCCTGTTGCCTGGAAAGCATGTCAAGATTGATTGTTTTTCTAAATTATGTTCAGTACCAATGCTTCTGTTTTGTATTATCCGCTTCGAACAATGCTTTTTATTTTAATTATCTTGTTCCACTGAATGTGTGCATAGCAACTGCACTATGGCTAAGCTCAGGGTAAGGTTGTGGTTTTTGAATGCACACTGCTCCACCACACTGACTGCCACTGGCACGGTCTGTATTAGGGTGGTCCTTAAAATTGAAAGTCGGAAAGTCTAAGCTCCAATCCCCAGAATTCATTCTATTAGTCAAGAAAACTCTCCTGGTGAATTTTTTCCTCAATCTGACAACATTTACCCCTCCCTCATCAACCTTGAAGTTTAGCCTCAGTTGCAGCACCGTGGCTGCTGGTGTGGCAGCCCAGGTCGATGAGGGAGGGGTAAATGTGACCCATGTCACTGAACCTTTTTCATTGCACACACCATGTGTACCATGCAGTGTCAGATTGATGAAAAGATTCACCATGAGAGTTTTTCTTGACTAATAGAATAAATTCTGGGGGTTGGAGCTTAGACTTTCCGACTTTCAATTTTAAGGACCACCCTACGTGAGGCTAAACTTCAAGGTTGATGAGGGCGGGGTAAATGCTGCTGTAATTTGAATGAAATTCACCAGGAGAGTTTTCTTGACTATCATAACGAATTACGGTATTTGGAGCTTAAAATAAATGAATTTGAAAATGTGCATGGCACTAAGGACCACCCTACTCTGTATGTATGTACTTATCTTTGGCATTGCATTTCAATTGCGAGCTCTAGAATTGTCCAATATGGACCTATTTCCCATGACCACTGGGCTGTTGAGAATCCATTAACCTCTGTTGTATAAGGTGGAGGAAGAAATATCAGAGACGGTCGGATACCCCAACTTGGCAAATAAAACTTAAACTATCTGTGTTGGTAGATAATACAAGAGGGAAGCAAAAAGTAACTTTTCGAAATTGAGTGGAATAACCTTTTAACCCTCAGCAAACGCAATATATTCTGTAAATAAAGTTCCAAAAGTCCAAACATTGGAAGAAATATTAGAATCTCTGCTGCTGCTGAGATTTCCCATTTCATATCACTGAAGACTGACGTGCCCCCTCTATTCTGTCTCTGCTCGCAGCCCCTCCTTTGATGAGGAGCTCTCCCCTTGGCCCAAGGGGAAGAAGAAAAAGCGAAAGTCTGAGCGTAAGAGGAAAAGGAAAAGGTCAGTTCCCAAAATGATATGACTCTAAACTAAACAAACTAAGAAAATAGGTACAGGAAGAAGCTTGGTTCTCTCTATAGTTCATGTTTATTTGTTCTCCGGCTTTAGGTCTACTTCCTACAGCCTGTCCCCGCTGAGGAAGAAGAAAAAGAAGAAGAAGAAGAAGAAGAGCTCCAAGAAAAGCAAACGGCATAGGTAGTTCTTTCTTTCTACAACAATATTGGAAATATGGCATGACATTTATTTTAAGATAACTGAAATCCTCTTTTTTCCCTATTCCAGGTATACCTCCAAAAAGTCAAAGCACAGGTATGTGTTCGATAAAAAATGTATGCCTTTCAAATGGTTAAATATTCATTTGAAAGAGCAAAATGTAAATGTAAACACCTGGATTAATTTGTGTCATAAAGTAGTTAATATTTAGCTTCTGCTTTCGGTAAGATTTCCAACTGAAAAGCCAATTTTTTTCATGTATCAGTATGAAAGCAGGCTGCTTGTGTAAGCTTTATACGCCTCGCACTTAATTCTATTATTTTTCTTCCCACCAGTTCTTCAAGTTTAAAACAGAAGAGGAAGGATGAGCGCAAGCACAAGAAAAGGTCAGTCTGTGATTGTTGCATTAGAATCACGTACTCTCTAAATCATACACAACTTTTTTTCCTCCTCCATGGTAAGCCAGTCACTGTATGTTTTGGTCATTGGATTTTCTTTTCACAAATGGATATTCAAAAACAAAAAAACGACTGGATATTTAATTTTCGTTTTAAAATTGAAAAACCAAAATTGAAATACAAGGCGTTTTTCTTTATCATGGTCAAAAAGGGATTTACTAAACTTAAAGCGAGATGATTTTCATTTTCTACTTCTCAAAACAAAAAATAAAATCACTAGAAAACAGAAACAAAAAAAACTACCGTTTTTTTTTCTGCTACCGGAAGTTACCTTACTAAATAAGAGCGCAGATGAGGTCAGCATCCGTGTAATCTGTGTATCTACCATCGAATTGTTTTTCTTTATTAAACAAGTAATGAAATTCTCTTAAAGCAACCAAATTATTTGAGTTAGGGGAGAAGGCTTATCCTCTACAATTAGAGGTGTTTTTAATTACCACTTACTTAATAATTGGTAGCATAAACACAAGTTTTGAAGTTGATTACTCAAAAGATTAAGTTGTTCCGACTAGTTTTACCACATGATTTAAAAGGAATTTTAAGTTGTAAGTACTTAATTACCCTCATTCGGGATACAAGTTTTTAAGTTGATTACTCCAAAAATTAAGTTGTTCCAACTTGTTTTAAGAGGTGAAATGTAATAGGTTAAAGAGAACGCCTGTGATGAGCTGATTATAAGCAGCTGCGGAGTGAATGTATATACACCCAGTCTTCCTGAAAGAACTTGCGCTGAGCTTCATTTAAATCTTGAAAAAAAAGATAAATAACACAAATTTTAATTGCCCCACAAATAATAAATAAACCATATTACCATGGGAAATGGGGACACAGCAAATACGTGCTGCCATCACAACGAAGTTAGAGGCCAAATATGTAAAATCTGTAAAGTTTTGGTAAAACTACAGTAACAAACTCTCAATGGCCACCAATCTGCAGATCACACACATCAATTTTACAAAAGATGTAACAAAGATGTTTACACTGCCGACAGTCATTTTTTCAAACAGTATGAACACATTTAACGCAGAATGCTTGCTCATTCATTTGTTTCCCTCGACCACGATGGTTGCCATCGTATGGTCAGATCCTGGGGTGGACCGGTCACTGATGGAGGCGATATGCATGTCCTTTTGAAGCACATTAAATAATAGGTTAGCGCACAAGAGATAATGAATTAGGTAACTGCATACTTTTTATACTGTCACTCTTAGCGAATTCAGAGCCATTATTACCAGCTGCTAAAGCAACGCTGGCATTGTTTTCACCTATTGAGTCTGCATGTGTGTGTCATCATGGCAATGTGGTCCTGAAGACACACAGAGGTGCTTTTGAGTACTTTGCCTAGTGTTTAAATGCATGTGGACAGATTTTGTCAATCACAACCGTGCAAGTTTTAGTCAACCTTCTCATCTTTTTTGCAGGTTCCATACAATATTTGAACTGGTTAAGTGAAGAGCAGAAGCCACTTTTCAAATTGTACACAATCCTTTTCCCATGCCAGATTTTTAATTACGTCGCTAAACTCCTTGAAAAGGTCCTCTTCCTTTTCTCCAAGGCACACGACAAGGCAGCAGATGGCTATAGTTCTCTGCGTACTTCAATTGTCTTGTGCTATTTTTGAAAAAGGAAAAAAAAGAGAAATTACCTAAATTAATATATTCTGAACTGGTGACTGCCTGGTGACTGCCAACAACTTGCATTTCAATGACAACTCTAAATAACGATCCTACCTCAAGAAGCATGTCCTTGATCTGCTTCACCGAGATTCATTTTTAATAAAAAGCGATATCACAATAGTAAAGAAAGTATTTTTACTCTCACAGTAGCCTCTACTACTTTGTACCCTCTTACAGAACTATTCACAGTTCAAAGGCTGCTAATTTTGGTCAAACAGCAATTTGCCTATACGGTGCAACTACAAGGCTATCTACTGTATTTGAATTACAAAAGATGACACTCACCTTAAAATGTCCTTTGTATATTTCTATTTGTCTTAACTGTCAGAACTTGTCCAGGCATGTTAAG